TCAAAAGTTTCCGCACTTTTTGAATGTGAAAAATTGTTTAGATCTAAGTCTGTGATTCGATTCTACACTTAATTCATTGAATCTAGTGTTCTAAGAGTGATTTTGATTTGAATCATATAGTTTGTTGTCAAATTCTCAAAGTTTCTTCAAAAATTCTCAAGGATTTATTCCGTACATCAATGGCTTCTTTCAATCTGAATTCCATGACTTCATTTTCTCATCTCCTTGGATCATCCACCAAAATTCCTATGCTCATCCTTGAGTATTATGATCAGTGGGCTAACCGTATGCAGGATTATCTCAACGGATTGGATGAAGAACTATGGAATTGCATTTTTGGCAATCTCAAACCACCATCGAATGTTCAACCAATTCGTTATTCCTCTCGAAATTCTGAAGTTGAGAATCAATCTGATCGTCTGAAAAAGTTGGAGAAGAGGTGTGTAAGAGAGCTAAGAGGATCTTTGCCCCAGTTGTTTACAACTATGTGAGGAGTTGTACAACTGCAAACGAAATCTGGAACAATCTCAAGGAAAAATTCCAGGGAAGTGAGAAGACAAGAGTTAACTCTGTGAAACAATGCTTAGTGGAACTGAAGGACTTCAGACAAAAAGATGTTGAAACTATTGAAGTTTATTACGATCGTCTTAATGAATTGATCTATCGATGCAATCGATATGGAATCACCAGATCTGCCATGGAGTTCAATCTTATTTTTGTTATGGGACTTCGTAAGGAGTGGCATAGTGTGAGCATGATGGTTAAGAATCAACAGAGATTTGATACGCCAACCTTGAATGATCTGTACAATCAGCTGAAGACTCATGAAAGCGAAGTGATCGAAATAGTTGAAGAATCGAAGGCTATTTTGGGAGGTCCACTAGCTTTGGTTTCGAAGATCTCTGAAAGGGATGCTAAGAAAGATGCTTCTGATGAAGATGAAGGGTTCATCATGAACTCAGATGATGAGGCAATTGCTTTTTATTTAAACAATCGTGTGAAAAAGTTCTTCAAAAAGCCTTTCAATCCGAAGGTAAAGTCATCTGAGACAAAAGGGAACTTTCTGAATAAAAGTGTTGGGGAAGAGAAAAAGAAGGAAGAGATGAAAGATACGAAGCCTGTTGAGGGAAAGACTGAAAAGAAGCTAAAGGGAGATGTTGGGATTGATTGTCATTATTGCAATGGTGCCAATCACCTTGCTAATGATTACATGCTTCTAAAGAAGGATGAAAGAAAGAATAAAGTCAAGGATGAGGCGTACTATGCTGAGAAGTTGGATGTGGTTCGTGCGAAAGCCAAAAAAATTCTCTAGTTGAAAAGGGTGCAAATGAGGATGAAGAAGGTACTTATCAAATCTGGTCATCTGGATCAGATGATGAGGAAATGCGAAATCCAACCCATGGAGCAATGTTTGCCAAAATGGAGGAGGAATCTGAGGAGGAGGAATACAAAGTGCATGGGAGATGCTTCGTATCAAAAGCAGCTGACAAATCTCCAATGACCACAAAGGCACGAAATATTCTTGAATCTTTCAATATTCCAGTACATGCTTATAATTATGAATTAGTATCCTTTGATGATACTGTTACTTATTTTGATTCAATTGTGGTATCTGCTAGCAATGAGGCTAAGAAGCTGTCTATGCAGTTGATACTGACACAAAAGAAATTAGATTCGAAAATCACTAAGATAGATTGTTTAGAACTTCAAATAACTAATATCATGGTTGATAGAGATAATTTGTCTAGTGATAATAAATTGTTATTAGCATAGAGGAACATTTACTGTAATGCTGCTAAAAGATTGTATGGAAAAATAACTAAACTTCATCATTAATGCGAAATCAGTAAAGAACAACATAGAAAATTGCTGCCATTTTTAGCTTATGAAAGAGCTAAGGTAGATAACATTTTGAATGACTGTGAAAAGGAAATAGTTGACTTTAACAAAGTTCCAAATGATAAGTATTGATATGGAATAGTCAAAGTTGATGAATGTCTTGATTCAAATGATTTAGTTAACATTGTAAATGATACTTTGACTAAATCTAAACAAATTCACATTTTGAAAAAGACTGAGAATTCAACATCTGATTCTCAATGTAATTTTGCTGATATTGAAGATAATTCTGACAATATTAGTGAAATTAGTGAGCTTGAAGATGTTGATTGTTCTCAGTTGTCTATTGTTAATGTTGCTTCGAATTCTAAAGGGAAAGAAAAAGTTAAGGATTTGATGGTTGAGAATGAAACTAATATACCCTCAACTTCGAAAGTTAGTAAAATAAACTTCGTGGATCTCAAAGATTACCAAACTGATGACAGTGATGATGAAGATGTTGAGAAAGTTTCGAAGAAAAGGAATCCTCAAAAGAAGAAGAAATTCCACGAATAGTTGTTGATCATGTGTTTGGTGATACAAAAAAGTTCAAAAAAGTAATGAATGAAAAAGGCGAACATTATCTTGAAACTAACACGGTGGTTTATCCAAATTTCAAATGCACAGATGATGTCATTTTTCCAAATCAAGTTTTTGTAACTACAGGAAATGTTGAGAATATTAAACCAGAGTTAAAGAAGATGGTTGAGGAGGATAATTCAAAAACAACTAAGGAAGGTTTTTTCGCAAATCAAAAGACAGCTGAAAACAACTTAACAAAGAATTCGTATGTTTTTCAAAGACAAAAACCACAAAAACAATGGGTTGAAAAATCAAAAGTTGAAAAAGAGTAAATAATACGTGTTGAAAAGGAAAAGGAAAAAGTTGTCAAATTAAACTCTAAGGAATTTAAAGATCAAGTTGACAAATTTTCGAAGGAAAACAACATTTCAAAAAGACAAGCAAGAAAGAAAATGTTTTGGCAAATTATTGAGTCTCAAAAGATGTCTGAATTACAATCAACAAAAAATGTTTTCAAAACTAAAAATGCTTCTTTTTCAAAAACCCAACAATCATCTCAATCAAAACAAACAAGGTCTGAAGTAAATAAGCAACCAAGGTTTTTGAAAGTTACTGAAACGAACAAATCAAGAGATTTTTCATAAAGATCTAACTCAAATCAAAAAGTTTTTCAATGTCAACATTTTAAATCAAAATTTGATTCATCCTATGCTTACTCTTATGTTACAAAACCCAAAGTTGATTTTGTACCTCAAAAGCCAAATTTTCCTAATTACACAAAGAAAGAAACTATGAGGACGTCTCGGGAAAAAGGAATGACTTCAAGAAATAACATTGATCATTGACTTGAAGGAAAAGGAAAAATGTATTAGTCGAATACATATTCAGAAGAGCAAATTCATGAAGCAAACGAAAAGTATGTCAATACTTCTTCCAATGGTAGCTCATCATCTAAGCATTCAAATATCTCGTTCAAAGCTTGGAGACCAGTTACAAAAGCAAAGCCAGTTCAGTCACAAACTCAAAAAGCGAAGGGTAATGTCAGAGAACATTTAAAACTATCAAACACTTATGTTTCAGTTCCTTTAAATGATGAAGTAAACTTAATTGATAGTCTCAAAACCAAAGTTTGTGATTGGGTTTAAAAGTTCTTCATTTCATTCGAAATTGAAATCTAATTTCCAAGGACCCAAAAAGCCTTGGGTACCTAAATTTTTCCAATGATTGTAGGTATTATGTGACGAGCAATATGATAACAAGTGGTACATTGATAGTGGTTGATCTCGTCACATGACTGGGAAGAAGGAGAATTTAAGAGATTTTCGAAGTATCAAAAATGATGGAGTAGTAAAGTTTGGGAACAATCAGAAGTGTCAAGTCAAGGGATATGGGAAAATCACAAATGGACAATTCACAGTGAATCGTGTTGCATATGTTGAAGGTCTTCAACATAACTTGATTAGTGTTTCTCAACTTGTGGTGGGCACTGGCAATCAAGTTCTCTTTAACAAAGAAGGAAGTGTTATTTTGAATGTTAACACAAAAGAAATATTACTGAAATCAAAAAGAAAAGGTGACATGTTCACCCTGGACATCAATCCAATTGTAGGCAAACCAGCAGTATGTCTTCTTTCGAAAGCTACATCTAATTTAAGCTGGTTATGGCATCGAAGACTTTCACATCTCAACTTTTGAAACATCAATAAACTTGTGGTACAAGATCTGGTAAGAGGTTTACCTGTACTTAAATTTGACAATGATTCTTTATGTGTAGCTTGTGAAGTTGGCAAGCAACATAAACAAGGTCATCCAATCACAATTGATTCGAGAATTATTGCACATATGGAGTTGTTACATATTGATTTGTGTGGTCCTTCGACTGTTTCAACTCTCAACAATAAACGGTACATTTTAGTTATTGTTGATGATTTTTCCAAATTTACGTGGGTTTATTTTCTCAGGCTTAAATCTGAAGTTGCACAAATCATGATTGATTTCATCAAAAAGATGGAAACAACGTTGAAGAAAACTGTTCAAAAAATCAAGAGTGATCGTGGAACTGAATTTAAGAACAATGTTCTTGATTCATTTTTGATAGAAAAAAGGATTTCGCATAATTTTTCATCTCCATACACACCACAACAAAATGGTATTGTAGAACGAAGGAATCGCTCATTATGCGAAGCAGCAAGAACCATGTTGGCATATGCAAATTTACCTCAATATCTATGGACTGAAGCTGTTTCAACTACATGTTTTACTCAAAACAGATCGTTTATTCATCGTCGGTTTAATATTACACCATACGAAATTCTAAATAATTGTAAACCTAATGTGAAGTTCTTTCAAGTTTTCGGATGTAGGTGCTTTATTATGAATCTCAAGGATCATCTTTCGAAATTTCAAGCAAAAGCTGATGAAGGGATTTTTTTGGATATTCGCACAATTCTATTGCATATCGAGTGTTAAATAAGCGAACACGAAAAGTGGAAGAAACTTTCAATCTCACATTTGATGATTACTATATTAAACAAAATGAGCATACATTTGCAAATCATCCAATTTTGCATGAAACTCAAGTTGAAACTGAAACTATACAAATGGATTATACTGATTATGATTTGATTTTTGGTATTTCAGATCATGCAGTTGATGTTGAAGTTCATGCTCCTGATAAACATATACCAGAATTTGCAAAGTTAACTGATGAATCTACATCAACTTCACAACAAAGCAAAAATATGCAAAACAGTCCAGTGGAGGGGGAGAAATTGGATTCGAGTACTTTAAATAATGAAGAGCATTCTTTCAAGGAGGAGAAAGATCAAATGAATGTTGAAGTTGAGGGGGAGCATGTTGTTGAGGGGGAGCATAATGTTGATGATGCTTGTTCGAATGCAGGCTCGGAAAATGATGAAATATACAAAGATGCACCTTTGGAATTTGATCTAGCATATCCACCAATGGAAAAATGGACAAGAGATCATCCGAAGGATCAAGTAATTGGGAATCCACAAGAGGGAGTTATGACAAGAACTCAAATTCGTGCAAAGAATGATGTATTGAATACTCATCAAGAATTTTGCATGTTTAATGTTTTCATATCTAAAATTGAACCAAAAACAGTTAAGAATGCAATGGAACACTCAGATTGGGTTGTTGCAATGCAATCTGAATTGTCAGAATTTGAACGAAACAAGGTTTGGAGATTAATTCCTAAACCTGAAAATATTTCGATTTTCGGGTTAAAATGGATTTTCAAAAATAAAACCGACAAAGATGGAAACATTGTTTGAAACAAAGTCAGACTTGTTGTAAAAGGATATTCACAACAAGAAGGAATCGACTGTGAAGAAACTTTTGCCCCTGTCGCAAGACTCAAGGTGGTTCGAATATTTCTGGCTTATGCAGCTCACAAAGATTTTGATGTTTATCAAATGGACGTGAAGTGTGCATTTTTAAATGGAGAGCTTGAAGAAACTGTTTATGTGGAACAACCTCCAGGTTTTATTACCGAAGAATATCCTAATCATGTTTATGTTTTAGATAAGGCGGTTTATGGTCTGAAACAAGCACCACGAGCATGGTATGCAACTCTTACATCATTGTTGAAACAATCTAAATTTAAACAAAGATCTGTTGATCCTACTTTATTTCGAAAGAAAGTGGGGAATCATCTTATGCTTGTTCAAATTTATGTTGATGCTATTATTTTTGGCTCGACTGACCCTGCTTTGTCTAGAGAATTCGAAGATTTGATGAAAAGCAAGTTTGAAATGAGCATGATGGAAAAATCAATAATTTTCTTGGCTTGAATATTCGTCAAAATAGAGAAGGGATTTTAATTAATCGGGAAAAATATGCGAAAAATCTGCTAGAAAAGTTTGGATTGATGAATAGCACAAAGCTTCGTGTACCAATGGCAATGGGCATAAAGCTAACACCATCGTTAGACAACCCTGCTGTTGATATAACGTTGTATAGGAGCATGATTGGTTCATTACTTTATCTTACGACAAGTAGACATGATATCATGTTTTCTGTGTGTAATTGTGCAAGTTATCAGTCTAATCCACATGAACCACATCTAACTGCTGTGAAGAATATTTTTTGTTATCATAAAGGAACAATTTCGTTAGGATTGTGGTATCCTTCGAAAACCAGATTCTTTGTTCAAGCATACTCAGATGCAGACTTGGGTGGCTGTAATCTTGATCGAAAAAGCACAAGTGGAGGATGTCAATTTCTTGATGGCAAATTAGTCAGTTGGCAGTCGAAAAAGCAAACGTGTGTGTCAATTTCCACAGCTGAAGCAGAATATGTGGCTGCTGCTACTTGCACTTCACAAATAATATGGATCTAAAGTCAATTACGTGATTATGCATTTAATATGAAAAAGATTCCATTATATTGTGATTCTCAAAGTGCAATAAGAATTTGTCATAATCCTATGCAACATTCAAAGACTAAGCACATAGCTCTTTGTTACCATTTTATTAAAGATCACGTGGAGGATGGGAACATTGAAGTACATTCCGTGAAAACAACTTATCAGTTAGCTGATATTTTCACGAAACCTTTTGATGAAAATTCATTTGTGAGAATAATAGAAGGGCTTGGAATGATCGATGGAAATTTTGTTCCATGCGAAAAAGAAGAATGATTGGTGACAAAGAAAGAATAAGAGGGTTGTATAAAACATAAAGCAAAGTCAGTATTCAGCGGTTACTGTTCATGGTCAACGCTTCGACGGCTTCGAATTCACATGTTTGATACTTATTTTCAGCGTTGAGTTAGTGGTTACTGTTCATAGTCAACGCTTCGAATTTGTATATTTGTCACTCTTAAAGGAATGTCAAACATTCGTCTGTTTGCAACAAACTCAGTCTCCTTATCCATTTTCGAAAACTCAAAAAATCCAAAAAGATTTTATTTTGTTTTGTCCTTCAATTTTTCAAAAAATCAAAAATCCAAAAAGATTTTCTTTTTGTTTTGTTTTTTTATTTTTTCGAAAACTCAAAAATCCAAAAAGATTTTATTTTGTTTTGTCCTTCAATTTTGCGAAAAATAAAAAATCCAAAAAGATTTTCTTTTGTTTTGTTTTTTTTTATATTTTCGAAAAATAAAAAATCCAAAAATGATTTTATTTTGTTATGTCTTTATTTTCGAAAAAAAAAAATCTAAAACAACAAAAATATTTTTACTTCATTTTAGAATTTTATTACATATTATGATGATGATTCAGAGGGGACAATACAAGCAGTATAAGGGTCAGGTAAAATTTTTTTTTTCGTATGAATCGATATGTTTCTCATTATTCGAACTAGTTAGGATGTCCCTAGAAACATGCTGCTGCATGTTGTCCAAAGTCTCCATGACTCAATGTGTGTGTACGAAAGCCTTAATGAAAATTTTCATACGAAAATTTCTTCCCAATCAGACTTATATTCACATTAGTCTCTGAGCTACCTTACTCTTCTCAAACCGAGTAAAGAGTTTTCTGTTTGGTCCAAAACATAACAGAGGTATTTTTCCTGTCTAATACCAATCTTTTTCATCCATAATATTCTTACATGATCACACACAAAGACGTATGTCCGAGAGGTCTCTGATCAAACCCATCGAGACTTAGATATATAACAACTCTGTGTTTATGATCTGACATCATGAGTCCATGATGAAAGTGAAACCCAAACATCTTGAAAATTAAGGAATTGACAGTGAACATTGTTCCAGATATATACGAAACTTTTGTTTCTGTACCAAGGTTTGGAACTCCAAATCATATTCATTTCGGATGAGTAGTCTTGATCAAACATTCGAAACCCACGATGTTTGTTACCCAACAAGATCCAATACACAATTTTTTTTCATGAATATGATTTCAGTGTGAGTTTCATTCAAATGTCCCAGTTATGTTAAAAAAATTTCAAACCCAACTTGTCACTGACTACACTGGTCAAACAAGTAATTTTTGTTACACTTTATCACCTTATGTTTAGGTTGACATGTAACGAAATTTTGAACCTACCCATGAAGCATTCTCAAAAGAAGCCCTTTGATACTTATTAAAAAGTATTCGATTGTACTTCACGGGAAAATACACAAGTTGTTGATCATCTTTCTTGATGATTAACGAAGCAACCTTTGCCTGGGGTTTAACTACCTTCGTGTCAAATTGCACTTTTGACATCACCACATTCCAAAAAAAAAATTATAATTGTTTCTTGTCTAACTTTCTTTGGAACATTGCACACACTAAATCCTTGAGGTTCTGAGTAATACCAACTCAGGCTGATGATTTCGAACATCTGGCATATGACTTCGCTTTTAATCCCAAAAGTGAAAGAGCCTTGCTTCCATTTGAAGGGTTCTAACGGTTACAATTCTCTTGAGGAGATAATGACAGGCTGTTTATCCAAGACATATGGTATTTTTTCCAGTTTTCTAGGTGAAGTAACAGCTACTTTTTGATGCATGGCTATCTTTCCGCAGTAATGGTCCGATTTTCAAGGTGCCACGTTGGATATCATTAAATGCATCCCGCTTCAAATTCAAATCATTCAGGGTTACTTATAAGGGGGGGGGGGGGGTTCAAGAGTACTTTATACGTTTACTCAATCAAACTCCAAAATTCCCAAATTCTCTGTTCTTCATCTTCTTCAAACCCTAACAATGGCAACTGCTGCTCACGTTGATCCTTCAACTGAAGATATTTCCTCTGCTCCAGTTATGAAGATTCAATCTACCAATTATTATGTCAATGGTGAAATTCCTCAATGTCCAGAGGAATTCAAGATGCTTATTGTTGCTTTAAAACACTCCATTTTATCCAAAGCAATGTTCAATTCCTTTTCTGTTCCGATATCTTGGCTTTCTCAAGCAGGATCTAGTGTCACATATAACAAAGCCTCTGATTCGATTACTTTCCACCTGATCAATGACAAAAAGGTTAGGCTTTCAAAGAAACTATTTTGTCAGATTCTTGATATTACGAATACCCCTCCTTTTGCTGAATTTAAATTTCCCCAAATTATTCATATGTTTAATGAAATGGGACATCAGCCCCTATTGTCAAAAAATAAGTGATTTTAAGAAGTCTATACTTCCAAAAGTATGGAATTTCTTGTTTGGAATCTTTCTGCGTTGTTTAACCGGAAGAACAGTTAGGTTAGACAAAGGAAGGATGGAGGTTTTCGCCATGGTGGCAACATTATACTATGATCTTCCAACAGATTACTCTACACAGTTATAGAAGGAATTCCAAAAAGGTGTAGAACATACGGATGTTGTTCATGGCATTTCGTGTGCTCGGTACTGGAGCCTTATTCTGCCATATTTTTACAATAAGGAAGGCATATTGGTTTCAAATAAAGAAGAGAAGGTTACTTTTCAAGCTTATCACTTTCCAAAGGAGGTTATTGACGATGTCGATGAATTTCCACACGTTTCTCGGATTCCAGACGCGATGCTTAAAAGGGTGGATCCTAAGAATCTTGTTTTGATTGCCTACCTAAAAACATTCGATTCATCTATTCCAACGGGAATTTTGTTGCCACAGGAAGAAAAGAAGTCGAAAAAGTCAAAGAAGGTTGCTCCTACTTCACCTAAACAAAAGACAAAGGGTTCGAAATCCTCTAAGTCTCCAAAGAAGCAGACTGAAAATGTTGAAGTGACAGTTGATGAAACACATGTGATTGAGCCAATTATGGAAGAGACTCAAGAGAATGTCATTATTCCTTCGAAAACTAGGATGTTTAGAAGAATCAAGATGAAATCTACTCACAAACGAAAGTCATCATCACAGACGATGGTTCGCAAAACTCAAATTACTCACCAAGGAGTTTTAATTCGTGAGTTACTTGTTCCTGTTTCTCCCGGGTCCAAGAAACGAGTAGCAGAAGATATAGCAAAACACTTGTCCCAACCGAAGAAGAAGAAGAAGACGAAGAAGACTCGAAAGCTTGTTTTATCTACTGTGTCTAGAGAAGAAGATGAACGAATACCAGAAACTCCAGAGTTCACTCCTATCAATACAAGTTCCATTCTTGAGAAGACTGTTATCATACCACCCGAAGTTTCGATTGTCGAGTCAATTTTTGAAGAGGTTCGAACTTCATACATCCCTACACACGTATCTGATATGGATGCAAATGTCAACATGGGTAAAGGAGGTTCGAAAGATGCAGATCAAGGTCCAATTATCTATCCTGTTACACCAACATCTACTATTCCTCTCACATCAACCACTGTTTTGCCAACCTTCGAACATATCATCAGTCAACCATTCACTTCCATTTTTCCTTCTCAATCCACTGATACACCCAAACCATCTTCACCAACTGAAACTGATAATGAAGGGTTTGGCGGTACGTTCAAAAATCTGGAATTTCATGAAGATGAAGAAGAATTCCTGATTACATGTTGATGACAATGAAGCAATACAAAATACTTAATCAAAAGTTGAACTCCATCATTCAATCCCAAGCTGATCTTGGAGGAAGTTCATCTATTTCAAGTTTAGAGGTTGATTCCATGCTCAATATGTTCGAATCAAGAGTAATTACCAAAGTTTCTGGAATGTTGAAAGCCTCAGAGTCTGCTATTTTAGAGAAGGTTGATTATACAGATCAGAATTCTGAGCTTCGTGTTAAAACTCTCAGATCTGATTTTATGGGAGAAGTTAAGAATCTGAAAAGCACAACAAAAGAACGTGATGTTCTTTTTATTCAGGAGGTGAAGAAGGTGAAGGAGGACGTTAACTCACAAATCCACGAACTTCGTGAAGATATGAAAAAGGAAATTCTTTCTGTTCAACATGATTATGCGCCCTTGCATCAGAAGGTCGATATCATTTGTGATGCTGTAACCCGTTTTGTCAAGCTATATGAAGGTTTGAGTCCTCAAATAAATCAAATCTCCAAATCTGAAAGTGAAAATTTTGAAGGTGTGATAAAGTTGCTAAAGGAATTAAAGGAGATCTCAACGAAATTGGTTTTGTCACCGTCGATTACTCTAGAATTTTTATCCTAGAAGTTTGTGCAGTTCGAAGCCATACTTAACAAGCAACTTGCTCCACTATTTTCCATAACCAGTCTTCTTCCCTCAACTACTACCCCTCCTGTTTTCACAGGGGTGCAAGGGGGAGAAAGGAAGTTAGCAGAAGAAGGAGCGAAAGTGGTGGGTAAGGTATTCTCTTCAAACATCCCTTCAACTAAACCAGTGATAGTGTCTGCTGAACTAGTGACCTCAATAATCATAACAACATTGCCAATTACAAGAACAATTTCGAAAGGAATTGTAATTGGTAAACCTTTGGAATCTGGAGGAAGTGGTTCAAAGCCAAAAGAGGTAACTAAAAATTTTGCTTCGACAGACAAAGGAAAATTAATTCTTGTAGAAAAATCTAAAGAAAAAAAAGAAGGTTGAGGCTGAAGTTGAGATTGAAAAGCTTAGAATCGTTCAAAGTATAATGACTCAGAGGGATAATGATCCTAAGGGGATGGATAAAGGTGATCCAGCAAAACACCATAACTATGAAACAATCGAAGCCAACGTTGCTTTCAACCACATGTATACATTCGAAAAGAAGCCTACGCAATGTTATGTGATCACAAATTCTGATGTTTTCCAGTTGGATTTCCCTATAAACGAGATGATGTTTGTCACACCCCCGAACCAGACGGCGGAAACGTCCGAGGGCTGTCGTGACTCAATTGAATACCATCACAATGAATATACATGAAACATAACATTATACATCACCAACATTCGAAATGATACAACTGGTAGCATTTATATCCATTACATTGTTCCCAGAATATTACATTCTCAAAAGTAACTGTTTGATACTAAATTAAACCACAGCAAAACGTCATAGAGTACAATTCATCCTTCACTTTATCTGTTACCTGAGAATACAAGTATTTTGAAAAACGTCAACATATGAAATGTTGGTGAGTTCATAAGTAATGTTTGAAATCCAATGTTTGTAATGTTTTGAAAAACACCAGAAAATCCGATATTTTCTGAAAATAGTAAAGTCAAGAATGTGTGAAGATCCATAGGTATGCTTGTTTGTTTCTATACTTGTAAAAATTGTTCATTTAAAATTTGTGTGCATTCCGAATCCGTATGTATTGAAATACCCTAGGAAAACCCGATGTTTTCCTAATTCTTTGAATTACATGAACGTACATTGAAACAATTGCAACGTGTGAAGTTATCGGTACCAGGCGACGTTGGATTATTTTTGAGCATGATTATTTGCTACAAACACACGTTACACAAACGACTAGTCTATAGCAATACTAACGATCCCGTAGGCGTCGTCCGTACTAATCACGTTATCCAACCGCCCTGACTACGTGTAGTCCCACACCCGAAGAGAACGAGGACACGAAGGCCTCGGTAACTCCATTAGCCGGTTTGGGATAAAAGGTACGAGGGGTCCCAGACCCGCCTCGCATGAAAAGGTAGACTTTACTAGCAATACCAAAGGACCCTTGGGGACCAGTAGTATACAAGCCATTGAAAGTCCTTTTACGTTATGTCGGATCGGTAAAACCCAACACTTCGTAAGAGAGAGGTCTTCGGGCCTTAAGATCAGGTCATTGGGCTAGCTAGGCTCAACGAACAAGATTTTACACTTTTGGGGCCCAAAGGTGGTGCGTAGACGTCTGTGCACACTCGCATGTATAGTGACTTCCCAATCGTTATCGTAATGTCGTAATGTCATAGTGTCGTCGTGTTAGTAGTTTCGGATTTTTATTGGTTCGAGACCGAACCAATTCGTTTGACAACGACTTTTGGTGTTGTAATGTATTGTATTTCGTCGATAGTCGTGGTATCATCATTTGATCAAATTGCATGTATTGAACTAGTCTTGAGGATTTTTCTGTTTTCAGCCCTCCTTATTTGTAAAAATTTACTTTTTCAACCCTTTATTTAAAAACTTTCCGGTTTGGTCCTTAAATCAATTTTCTTGACATTTTAATACCAAAAATTATTGAAATAAGTATTTTCCAGCATATTTTTCATAGAAAACAGCTTAAGTCCCTGAATTTCAGTTTTTCTCGGTTATAACCTTTCTTTTTCGAAAGTTTGACAATTTTGGCCCAAATTGTAAAATTTTTGCAACTTTGGTCCTTTTTAAATTTAAAAAGCATTTTTAACCTTTGAAAAGGACTTGGATCACTTATAGTCCACTGTTTTATAGAAAAACACAGTTTTGGCCCTCCAAAACAGAAAATTTCGCATAATGGGCCTCATTGGGCCGAAAATGTCATTTTTAGCCCATTAAGCTTGAAATTTATGTTTTTAATCCTCTAAATGAGTATATTTCCAGAAATTGTTTTATTGAAACTGTTTTGACATAGTTCAACCCTCAGAATTCGTGATTTGTCAATTTAGGCCCTTAAAGTTTGTATTTTTCGCATTTTAAGTCCAAAAATGGTATTTTTAGCCCAAAGAAATTGTTACTAAACCATTTAGCCATTTTTCTAAAAATACTTTGTATGTAGAAATATATTTGATGCTAGAGTCTTTTAACATAAGGTATATCTCGGTTTTGAGGGGTTTTATGGCTAGATCCAACATTATAACACACAAAAGCACACATATAAGCATGGAATCATACAAAGCATACAAAACACATATAGATCTACACTTTCACTTGCATTCCCCCCCCAAAAAAACTTATAAAAACCGAAAATAGGGGGTATGAAGCTCACCTTGTTTGAAGCTTTCGGTTTTTGGAAGAAAAGATGGAAGAAAGTTTGGTGATTTTCGGCCTTAGCACCTTTCCTTGGTAGATCTCGAGTTTGATGACTTCTAAGGTGCATGATCACAAGTTGGAATAGATTTAGAAGAGGTTTTTGATGGAGTGAAGTAGCTAGATCATGGATATAAGTAAAAACTTACCTAAGATGATGATTAACTTGCAAGATCCTCTTGAAAGCTCCTAAATTTCGAGATTTTTGGAGTGGGGAGGAAGGAGTGTTCTTGAGAGAGTTGAGAGATTTTTGTGAATGTGTGTGTGTGTTGCTCGGCCGAGAGTGAGAGGGAGGAGAGAAGAGAGTGATTTTGAAGTGATGTTTGCATGGAAGAATGAGATGAGTTGCATGGATGTCCTATGGATAACAATGATGTGGCAATGGTAAAGTCAACTCTTCCATTTCCTCTTGGGCTTGTGCATTGGGCCGAGAATTTGGAAGGGAAGAGGAAAAATTTGGGCCTTTGCCCCTAAGCCCAATGTTAGTGTTAATCTTGAGTATGTTTTAAGTCTAAAGGAATGTGGTAGGATTTTTATATTTTTATTGGACTAGTTTAGGTCATTCATGTATCAAGGCTTTTAATTCATTTCATTCTAGGTCCAACATAGCCCAAAATGTTGAAACAAATAGATGTGGGTCCAATTAGAGCCCATTTAAGAGTTCTAAACCCAAGATAGTCAAATTGGAAGTTTATTGGTCCATTAGGCCCAATAAGGAAGTTCTAGTCCAAAGTGGACCTAAATAAGAACTTCTAGGGTTTCCAATTGCTTGTTGGCTATTTGTAATGCTTGTATGGTGTATTTGATTGAAATTCTGTTGTCACAATAATAGGTGTTACGCATGTTCTTAAGCTTTTGATTCACTTTAGCTTGAGTGTATAGTTTACAAGATACAAAATTTCCAGTTGTGACATCATCCCCCGTTAGAGGGAATTTCGTCCCGAAATTCTGTTTGAAAGCTAGATTTGAGAATGCTAGAATAGGTGAGGGTACTTTTGCTTCATTTGATCTTCGCGTTCCCAAGTGAATTCTGGCCCACGCTTTGCGTTCCACCGTACCTTCACGATCGGGATGCGGCTCTGTTTAGTACGCTTCACCTCTCTGTCCATAATTTCGATTGGTTCTTCGACGAACAGGAGATTCTCATTGATTTTGATTTCGTCAAGAGGAATGACAAGGGTTTCGTCTGATAGGCACTTCTTTAGGTTAGAGACATGGAACACGGGGTGTACACCGTTTAGCTCTGCGGGTAGTTGCAGTCTGTATGCTACTGGACCAATTCGGGCGACGATTTCGAAAGGTCCAATGTACCGTGGATTTAGTTTTCCCCGCTTCCCAAAACGAATGACTCCTTTCCAGGGCGAGACTTTTAACAGTACTCGATCACCGACCTGAAATTCTAAGGGCTTTCGGCGTTTATCAGCGTAGCTCTTTTGTCGGTCACGCGATGCTTGCAACCGAGCTTTGATTTGAACGATCTTTTCCGTGGTTTCACGGATGATCTCCGGTCCCGTTAGTGCTTTGTCGACATGTGTGTTTTCGCTAGCTGGGTGTCACCTACTTCAACCCAACATAACGGTGATCTACATTTACGCCCGTACAGTGCTTCGAAAGGAGCCACCTTGATGCTCGAATGGTAACTATTGTTGTATGAGAATTCGATTAAGGGTAGGTGGGTGTCCCAAGACTTTCCAAAGTCTATCACGCATGCGCGGAGCATATCTTCGAGCGTTTGGATGGTTCGCTCGCTTTGACCATCCGTTTGTGGATGATAAGCGGTGCTCATATCGAGGTTTGTTCCCATCGCCTTATGGAGTGATTGCCAAAATCGGGACGTGAACCTACTGTCCCTATCCGAGATGATAGATGTTGGTATTCCGTGAAGTCTCACGATCTCTCGAATGTATAAACGCGTCAATCTCTCCATCTTGTACGATTCCTTAATTGGCAGGAAATGGGCAGATTTCGTCAGTCGGTCAATTATTACCCATATGGTGTCTAATCCATCCGACGTTTTGGGTAACTTGGTCACGAAATCCATAGAAATCCCTTCCCATTTCCACTCAGGAATTGCCGGTTGCTGTAACAATCCTGAGGGTTTTTGGTATTCCACCTTTACTTTGGCGCACGTAAGGCACTTACTGACGTAGGTCGCGATTTCCGCCTTCATGTTAGGCCACCAATAGTGTTGTTTAATATCCAAATACATCTTATCGGAACCGGGATGAATGGAGTATCGCGTCTTGTGGGCTTCCTTCATGACAACATCTCTGAACCCTCCAAATTTAGGGACCCAAATACGGTTCATGAAATAGTATACTCCATTCTCCTTTGCTTCCAGTTCTTTTCCATTCCGCGCAATGCTTCGCTTGCTCTATTTTCCGTCTTCATGGCTTCCGACTGGGCTACTGCAATTTGAGTGGCCAGGTGCGATTGAATGGTTATCGAGAGAGTCTTCTTCGTACAACGATTAGAGTACTCCTTCCGACTTAAGGCATCAGCTACCACGTTGGCCTTGCCTGGGTGGTACTTAATCTCACACTCATAATCGTTAACAATCTCAACCCATCTTCGTTGCCTCATGTTCAACTCCTTTTGGTTTAAGATGTGTTGGAGACTCTTGTGATCTTGAAGACGGTGCACTTTGTACCGTAAAGGTAATGCCTCCAAATCTTTAGGGCAAAGACTACAGCTCCCAACTCTAAGTCATGGGTCGTGTAGTTACTTCATGCGTTTTAGTTGGCGGATGCGTAGGCTATCACTCTCCCACGTTGCATGAGAACGCAACCTAAGCCCTGATTTGACGCGTCGCAGTAGACTACAAAATCTTCCGTTCCTTCAGGCAGAGATAGTACAGGTGCGCTACAGAGAGCTTGT